GCAGGCAACTGTCTAGCAGGCAAGTGGCCGACATCCATACAGAGACGCCTTCATTTCGTTAGTTTCCGTTGCAGTTACCAATGTGTCAGAGATATACTCAGTTCAGCTTGTTCGAAATTGAAAGCAAACCAAAAAGGCATTTTTTTTTGAAACTCCACTAAAAGTAATTAAAATCATGTAACATTTATTTCAATACGCTCATTTAATTCCAAGTGATTCTCATTCATGACATATATTTAAAAGAGATAAGATTGGTTCTATTCGGTTTATGAATCGAGTCAATTCAACCTGTGAAATGTAGATTTGTATTCGTTCTTTTTCATTGAACTGAAATTTATTTTAAGGTTTATGTTGACAAAGTAATTTGTAGGTTCTTAAGCAGAAAAGAGTTTTTTTTTTTCGAAAAGAAAAACATTTTCTCCGATTTTGTCTATACTCTGATAAAATAAAGTAACTGAAGAATAATCAAAAATGGTTAAAAATTGGATTAAAAGCTGAAAATGAAAATTATTTGAAGAGAATTTAATATTTGTTTATTTAATTTAAACAAAAAAAAATGTTCTTTTGATAATCAGTCAATCAATGTCGCTAAAGCGTTTCCATAGATGACATCATTTATAAAAGAACAGATAATGAATTAAAAAAAACCTCGTTTTAAACGAGTTTAATTTAAGATCATCCTCCGGCTGGCTTTCGACGAGAAGATGGACGCCCTGAACATGAATCAGAGGATCCACGATTCGATTGTCCGGTTAATGGATTATAATCACTTGATCGATATTTTGTTCGACTAGAATTTTCATCTGCTGATGTTTTCGCACTTTCGATTTTCTAATAAAATTCAAAAAGAAAAATAAATATAGTCAATATAAGAAAAAATGCTTCACAGCTTTTTTTTGTTGAGCACAACGTAGAGCTTGTTCTTCATAAGCTTTTTGTTGTTTTTGTCGAATACGTTCCATATCATCATATCGATTGAATCGATCATCTATACGAATTAAATCAATTTTTAGATTTTTAGAAAAAAGAAAAAACATTAAATATCTACGTGAATCTTTTTGTTCATTTGTTTCATGTTGAATGTAATTGGAATCAACCATTAGATTTCTATAGCGTCGTCGATTTCTATTCATATAAATAATAACAAGAATAATGATTGATAATAGTAGAAATATGATCCATGGTTGACTCACTACATTTGATTAAAAAGAAAAATTAAGAAAGAAAAAAGAAAAAAAAGGTGTTTACGTATTTGAAATATCGAAAATGATTTTCGAAGAGAAAATTCACTTTCTGATTGAGATAATTTATCTTCATTTAATTCAAATTCGTCTTCAATTGTAACATCATCCATTACTTATCTAGAATAAGAATTTTATTTTCAATTCGTTTTTACCTTATTAAAAATGAAAAATCTAAAAAAAAAGAGCAAGTTTATTGAAATATGACTGAAAAACTAATCACTATATTTTAAATATATGCTTAAATCAGTATTGCGTTGTCTATTTTTTTTAACTTATGTTAAAATTTGTGCAAATCAATCTATAAATAAGATCAATATTCTTACTAATCAATATTTCCTATTGGTTTTTGATCGATAGACAAAAAAAAAAGGATTGACATAGATTAACTATTGTACTTAATAAAAGTGAAAAAGCAGCTAAAGCATCAATAAAACGTGATCGAACGAATATCCAATAGAAAAAAAAATGCAAAAATAAAAACAAAAGTGAAATAACTAGTAGCAATAAGATTATTTCGATGATAACTAACTACCTAGAGAATAATAAATATTCTTTTAATAAATATAAATTAAGAATTATGATTATCTGCAAGAAGAAATTCTAATGTCTAATCACAGGCCATTTATCGATATGTAGTGAGTAATATTTTCGATTCTCCTACTATAAAAACAACAACTCAATATTTATTCGATTTCATTTTAATGATATGTGGAAATTTTATAATAATAACCCAGATTCAAGATCGATAATATGTTTATGTTTGATTAATTATCGATAACAATTAGATGATAATAAATCTGTTCAAAATTCTTCAAATCTTGATGATAAAGATAGATTTATTTCGATTTTATTCTTTTATGTATTGCGCAATTAATTTATTCCATTGCTTAATCATTATCATAATAAAAATAATGCTAATAAAAATGAATGAAACGTGGCTTATTATCAACACCAATCACATATTTAATAAAAAAAACAAAAACAAAAGATGTCACGTCAATGCAAGGAAGTTGTCATTCTTTTCATTCATCTATAACAGTGTTTCCAATAGTATGTAATTTTTTTTTCCTTTAAAATATTCTATTTGTTTTATATTGAACGACTGATATTGGCCATTTATACTTTGATGATTTCTAATAGAATTAGGACAAATTTACTCTTTTCAAAATCTACAAGTAATCCTTAGTCTTCATCATGTCTTAAAATGTCCAAATTTTGATAAATCTCGTTTTTCTGCATCTATTCCTTGACGTTCATTATAGATAGCCCTTTAGAAAATTCAATCAAAACACAATTTTTTTAAAATTGTTTATTATTTGATTAACATTATTCAGACGAAATATTTCAATTATATTCATTGATTTTATGTTTCATAGATATTTTTTTTACTATTTTAAATTAATCAATGCAATAAAATATCACTAATTTTTATATTTAACATAGACATGCTAGACAATTTAGCAACTTCCTATATATTTCAACTCAAACTCATAAATGGCTATCTAATATAAACTCATCTACTATTTTTAATATTTTGTCAAATTATTGATATTTTAGTTTTGCTTGTTAGATATATTTTCAATATACAACGTTTATTTCTAACCATACTACTCTAATAATGATAATAAAGATCTTATATCAATTCGGTTCAGACATTTTTCAACAAAAATGTACACATTTATTGATGCAATACAATGAGTTTTTTATTATTATTAAGCACTTAATACTATCACAAATAAATATGACCCCATTTTTAAACATAGTATTTGTAAACGTAATAGATCAATAATTAATAATTTACATATGTATCATATTATATGTTCTATTGAAACAAAGTCTTATTAACCAAAAACATAATCAAACATTTCCACAACCAACATCAATCTATAACTAATACGAGCATTACCAATTATTTTTTTATTTATTTATAAGGTTGTAGGTTTTCTCCTTATCCTAAAGTATGTCCACACATGAGACCTATACTCCTAATGATAACAGCGATAGCTATCAATGTAGTTGGTGCAATAAAAAAAATGTATTTCTATAGTATACCAAAAGTCCGTTTTCAAGGAAAAGGAAATTACGTCTTCTATAGAACTTTGTTTTGGAAAACAAAGACTTTTTTAAAATAAACTTTTAGTTGTTCATCAGACATGGGATTAGAAAATAAAAAGACAAAAAAATGTTTATCCGAAAAAATCAGAAGTGTGCCTAGAAAGCTAGACTCAATTTCTGCGATGCTCGTGCAAAATTGTTGAATAGTCAAATAAATTCAATAGAAAAAAGTTCAATTATAGTTGTAATCACTGTATTCGATATGACATTCATGGTAGTTTTTTACAAAGTTGATCAAGGTAATCTTGATCAGCTCTCACTCGAGAATGATCGGACCCAAATACAGAATGTGCGATTTCTACTGCTTGCAATGTATGTTCGATGGCCTCTTTGTATTGATGAAGTTTTTCAAAGACATGAGCTACATTATTATGCGTAATAGCTTTCGAAGAATGATTCAATGGAAGAGTTTTTTCTTGTATTTCTAGTGCTTTCTCATAGTATGAGAGTGCAGTTGTATTGTCTCCTATTGATCGATACACCTTTCCAATATTGTTATGGATGAAAGATAACGAAACATGATCAGATGGAAGTGTTTTTGTCACGATTTCAAGCGCCTTCTCAAAGTTTGGGATTGCAGCCGAATAATTTCTTGTGGAATAATAAGCTTCACCCAAATTGTTATAAGTTATGATGTAATCAAGATGATCTGGAGGCAGTGCTTTTTGTTGTATTTCGAGAGCCTTTTGAAAAGATTCAAGCGCCTTGAAATGGTCTCCAATTGAATTATGAGTCTCCCCATGTTTTGTTGTAGGTTAATGCCAGTGTGGAATAATTCAATGGAAGTAAGTTTTGTCGAACTTCAAGAACTTTCTTAAAGAATATGAGTGCTGTCGAGTAATTTCCCATCGATCGATGTACCTCATCAATGTTATTATAGGCAATAGCCAGATCTGAATGATTGGATGGAAGAGATTTTTGTCTGATATCAAGTGTTTTTTCACAATATAACAATGCATTCGAGTAATTTTCTGTCATCAAGTATATCCCACCCATATTATTGGATGTGGTAACCAACGATGTATGATTAGATGGTAGAGATTTTTGTTGGATTTCGAGCGCTTTTTTATAGAATAACAGTACTTTCGAATAATCTTCCATTGCTTGATGTACTCCGCCAATGTTATTGTACGTAGTAGCCAGCGATGGATGATTGGATGGAAGTGATTCTTCTTGAATGTCAAGTGATTTAACATAGTATGTGAGTGCAGAAATATAATCACCCATTTGTTGGTGTATGTCCCCAATGTTGTTATGGACAATAGCTAGCGATGAATGACTCGGTGGAAGAGATTTTTGTTGGACTTCCAATGCTCTCATATGGTATGACAGTGCAGTGGAATTATTGTCCATCGCTCGATGTGTTGCACCGATATTATTGTAAGTTGTTATCGGAGAAGGGTGGTCGAGCGGAAGATATTTTTCTTGAATTGCAAGTGTCTTCTCATAATATGACAGTGCATTTGAATAATCACCCATAGAATAGAGGACCCCACCAATGTTGTTAGAAGTGTCAGCTAGCGAGGTATGACCGGATGGAAGAGATGTTTGTTTTATTTCAAATGTCTTTTGATAATATGAGAGTGCTAGTAAGTCATTTCCCATAAGTCGATATACTTCACCGATGTTGTTATAAGCAGCTGCAATACGCAGTTGATTGGGCCATGGGACGCCAAGATCAATGTTAAGAGCATGCTTGCAGTATTCTAATGCACTTTGAAGCTCATTTTGGCGACATAGAATCAAGCCAATGTTATAGTAGGTCGCGCAAAGTTCAAGATTATCGGATGACAGATAAGTTAATTGGATATTGAGAGCTTTCTTGTTGTGAGAGAGTGCTTTGGAAAGAATGCCTTTCATGGAGCTTATGTATACTAGCATATGGTGGATGTGGGAAAGTTCTCTCCAATCCTGATCGAGTATTGTCTCTTGAAGCGTCTCGTAGACTTCTTTGGCTTTGTTTAATGCACCCATTTTGATCATCAACTGACCCAACCGATGCAATTCTGTTGATCCTTGTGTCTCTATTCGTAGACGCTCAGTAAGACGATTCAATTGCTCATTGGTATCTCTTGTTAGTGACATATTGACTTGCCATAATCGGTCTTCCATTTGTACGATCTCATCGATTCGAAATACAGTATGCATTGAGAAGAGAATCTCTTTTTCGAAACCTGAAAAATAACTTATATTATCTATCGAGGCGAACGGAGTTGATGAAAGTGTTGGATCAATTTGCACTCTAAAGAGAATTCCTGTTAAAGCCAAATCATTTCGAGTACTTTCTGCAAAGATTCTGGCGACGTCTTCATCAATACTAGTCGACAAAAACTTATTGAAGGAAAGAAGACAACCTTTACTTTTGCTCAACTAGTCAAATTTTGAATTGGACATTTCTTGTCCTCGATAGACGGTTAGTGGATGACGATCATTTGATTCAAAGTGTAATTGCTTGATGTGTCGATGGAGATCTCGAACAAAATATCCCATTTTCATGATAACCTCAGTATCTTGTGTTCTGAGAGCTCTATTAAGTACTGAATATATAAATGATTCTTTTGTATACCACCAAATAGGCGCGAATGAAGATGATATTCTCGTTCAAATTCATCAATACGAAGAAGTTGTTGCTCGTTACCAGAGTTTTGGACACGACAAAAATCGATAAAAGTTTGCTTTGCTTTATCATCATATTTCATATCGAGAAGAATCTCTTTAAGTAACTGTGAATACATAAATGATTGATTTAGTTCATTCATATCACTGACAGACGATGACATAAGAATACTTATTGGTGTCAAATTATTTTTCGGTCTCTTGAATGGTTTGCTTAATTTCATCAAAAATAAATTCAATTTGACTAAATATTCCTCTCACTTTTCTCCAATCATTTATCGAGTGTTCATATTTGGATTCTTGAGCGCAAAACGCATAGATCGAGTCGAGTTGAGGGATTTCTTGAACAAGAGGTATAATTTGTTGCCCAAGTACATCA